AATTAAATGAATAAATAAAAATAATGTTTATATATACATATATTTATCATAGAGAGCTGATCGTATTTCATCAGCAAAAAGTAAATTAGATGTACCAACACGCAAATATGAAAAACCTTATGAAGTAAAAGAATTTATTTTACAAAATTTATTAAATTATGATTTGATTTATTTTTAGAATTATCAGGGATCTAATGGAATGAATAATTCAGATAATAATAATATAAATAATTATGAACCTCAGCTAATCAAAGTATAGTGTCACGGTTTATATGACTATGAATTATAATTCCATATTTTTTATTTAGATTGACAATGGTAATGAATCTGATCGACTTTTACAACTACCTGACAATTCCTCATGGCGACGGTAATAAAATACATCCGTTTAAAATTATCTATTTACTCTTCGTTATAGAACTCATTCGGATTCATCACTTCACCATACAATGGTACCGAGTGTTGTTGCACATTATCATGCACGAATTGAAAATGATAATAATGGTATATATATATATATCTATATAATAATTATCTCAATTTATAAAATTGTTTTTTTTTACATGTAGGTCAAGCAACCAATTATAATTTAAATGATATTAAATATGAATCATTATCATATTCTCCTCATCATCATCCTCATCATTTACAAGTTTCGAATTTACCTTTTCAACAACATCAGCATCAATTTGATTTAAATCATAATTTAAATTATAATTTAAATCATAATTATATAAATGGTCGAACAAATGTTGTATATCCATTATCTCAAATAGCAACACCAATAGGACCAACAACATCATTACCAACACAACCTATTGTATCATCACCACCAAATAATACTCATACACTTTTAGGACCACGTTATAGTAGTGGTTCAAATGTTCTTATGTTACCACCAAATCATCATCCACGTGGTGGTTCATTACCAGATTTACGTACAGAAAATGCATTTCATCATCAACAAGTATCGTTTTCAACAGCACCATCACCACCAACATCTACAATACA